ACGTTATCTCGATGACGCAACAATACATTCATGTAGTTCATAGACCAGTACAGAGACCCCCAACGCCGTAAAGACAGTATTACACTATTAATAGAAATAGCCAAACAACACTTTATACTGCAAATCATCCACATATTCATGAGCCCATATATTACTCAAACAAGTTATCAAATATCTAAAGCTAATTAAAATACTAGTCACCCCATACCAGAACTTAACTTACATCAGCCATAGGATAAAATTCATGGACATGACTCTGAAAAGGATAAATATAACGGAAAGAAAGAAACCACAACAAGCTGGGCTTTTTACTCCCGATCAACAATCAAATATCTTTTCTTGAATTATGAATAACAAGAATGGATTAAAATATTTAATTGAATTATCTCAAAATAAACCTTTATTTCGGTGCAATATTGAAATTAGCTTGAATTCTTCATAACCTCTGAATAGTGGTGGTCTAGTTATCCTACTAAATGCTTTAATTTTTAGGACTGTGCTTGGTGATTTTTAGGTATAAGATGCTGAGTGCATGGGGGTAGATGACAAGAAATTGTTAATGTAGTTTCCATGGTATTACTGTTGTTACGACAGCGGGGGTCATGTGACACTAGTAACACGTCATATTCTCGAAGGTTCGTGAAGCCTCGAGAGGTTACCAGATGTACGGTATTCTTTTATATAAGACGGCCAAGAAGTGACGGCAAGAATGGAATGTAATTGAACTGCAGACAGAGATTGACGATTGAGTCGAGCATGTGAGTCGTTTGTTGTGAATTATAGCGGTTGTTATAGCGTGACCGTTGAAATTATTTGAATTTCAAAGTTGTATTGAGAAAGAATAAACTAGTTTTATTTAAAAAAGGACTTGTGTCGCTAATGTTTCATCGGAAAGAAATTATACGTAAAATTAACTAACGACCAGAGACGTAACAGTATAAAGGAAGTTATTAACACTGTTTTAGAAAGGAAAAACAACCACCATATATTTAAAGAATCTGGTTGGTTCTGTAAAATATAGGTCTGTTCCAAATACCAGGGTTGCGATCTTAAAGCTAATGTTGGTTACTATCGAGTGTCACTTTCTTACGTGCTGTGGTTTGTCTGTGTGATGACAAAAGGTCATGATATCTAATCAAAAACATCTTAGGTGTCAAAAAAAGGTGCGACCAAAAAAGCATTGAGCGTGCGACTTAAAGGGATGAAATCAGAATTAGCGGCGAAACTGGTAGCTACATTTATAGCATTGGTAAGAGTTTTACAGCAAATATTCATTCATTAGTTTGCCAGGCCGCGTTTTTTGTTTTACCCACCATCTTGCCCTAAGTTGAACAAAAAACGCGGCCTGGCTAAATAATTAATGAATATTTGCTGTAAAATTCTTATCAATGCTATAAGTGTAGCTACTAGTTTGTCCACCAATTTTGATTTCATTCCTTTAAGTTGCATGCTGAATCCTCTTTTTGGCTGCACCTTTTTTTTTCACACCTAAGATGTTTTTGATTTGATTTATCATATACAAATTACACATGCACAAGAGTGCATACAACAACTTTAGGAAATGCATATTTTTTGAATGAAAATAGTTTACATAGATATGCCATATTTTATTTATAATAGATGTATGTTTCATTTCACAAAATATCACACAATTAGGCCAACAATGATAATAATTCATGCT